TATATATATATATATATATATATATATATATATATATATATACTGTATATATGTATGTGTATGTGTGTGTATACAGTATATGTATGAGTGTGTGTAAATACCAGGGGTCACCAACCTTTTTGAGACTGAGAGCTACTTCAGTGGGACCGAATGACACGAAGGGCTACTTGTTTGATCCAAAAAAGGTAAATCTGGTCCTCTGGACATTCAAAATAAAAAAAAAAATTAAAAAAAATAAGAAGCCAAAATATTGTAGAAACGTTTCGTCTTTCATCTGAAAGACTTCTTCAGTCTGAGGTGCTGTATTCAGCTCAGTCTTATAAATAGTACCTTATCATAGTGGATCAACCAGTTTGCTGCTGACAGCCAAAACCAGCTGCTCACATGATCAAGAAGGACCATCAGCCTAACAATGGATTGTTAGCACCCTGATGGTTGTTTGCTGTTCACAAGGAGCTGGGTGATACTAGCAATAACAGCATTGTAAGAGGAGGACAGTTGAACACGGAGGCCTCCACCCCTGTTTAATGATGGACAATTTCTTTTCACAAAGATGGCCTCCTTTACTCCTCTCTCAAACCATCGTTCCTCTCTATCAAGGATGTGAACATCTTCATCCCTGAAAGAGTGACCACTGGCCTGGAGATGAGTGTAGACCGCAGAGTCTTGGCCTGATGATGTTACTCTTCTGTGCTGGGCCATCCTTTTGGCCAGTGGCTGTTTAGTTTCCCTGATGTAAGACTGATCACAGCCCTCCTGACAATGAACAGCATATACAATACTAGAAAGTTCCTGGAGAAACTTTGACGGGGACTGCCTATTTACTATAAAATTATTATTAATAATAAATATTAATATTAATAATTAACAATATAAATAATTGATACTGCTTATTAATTATTAATATTATTAATTATTAATATATTTTCAATTTATTAATCACATTAATTGTTATTAACAATCAATAATAATCATATGAATAATTATTAATATTTATATTTATAATTATCTAAACTAATAATAATTTATGTTAATTATTATTTTTACTAATTAATAATAATAATAGGTGATTGGTGCCTTCCACGGATTGCATAACGCACTGCTTTCCTTGCATGTTGAACCAAAATTGCTCCCGACATTACTCAGTTTCTTTGAAAAGTTTTCTCCTATTCATGTTCTATGGGAAATTTGGCATCTTTGTTAGCAAAATACGTCGCCATGGTAACTCCAATTCCCAATAAAAGTAATATCAAAGATCTCGGAGCCGGACCGGTCATTTTGATGTAACTTTTGTGGGGGTCCATGTTGCGATTCGGACCACATAAAAGTTGAAAAAGATATGCTTTTCAAGTGTATAATAATAAGTGGGCAGTCAATAACTAGTTTCTGGAGTTGGTGAAATATTGTGTCTTTGTTCGCAAATTATGTTGCCATGGTAACTCGAAATGCCAGTAAAAGTAATAGCACACATCACCGGGCCAAGCCAGTCATTTTGATATCATTTTTGTGGGGGTAGACATTGTGGTTCAGTCCGCATTAATGGAGATAGAAATGTAGACACACTTCCGAGGTGTAGAATAAAAGGTGCCTGCCATGCATTTGCATGGCAGTCCCCAACTACTCTGTTTGTGCCGGGGGACTGATGAACCAGTCTTTGCCGTAATGTATTTTGGGGTTTAAAAGCCACTGGGACGTTGTGTTTAGAAAATAAACGTCTCAGTTTCTCTAATACTCCCGCAACATACATAATGACCACTGATCTGGGTTCCTCCTTTTCACCTGATGGCTGACTGGAGTTCTGTTTGGGTTTCTTCTCTGCTTTCAGGAAAGCCCAGTTAGGATATCCACATTTCTCTAGAGCCTATCTTGTGTGGGATTTCTCCTTCTGCCTGGCTCCTGAGTCAGTGGGAATTCTGTCTGCTCTGTGGTACAGAGTCCTGATGACTCCCAACTTTTGCTCCAAAGGGTGATGGGTGGCAAACTGCAAATACTGGTCTGTGTGAGTGGGTTTGCAGTACACCTCAGTTTGCAAATGTCCTCTATCAGAAACTGAGACCTCACAGTCCAAGAAAGCCAGCCTGCCATTTTTTACATCTTCTCATGTGAACTGAGAAAACCTTCAGAAGCAAACTCCAAATAGAAGGACCCCAAGCCTAGGGTTTAAACTCAGGAACTTTATCCTGTAAGGCAACAATGCTAACCACAAATCCACCATGCTGACTAAAAGATGATGTCATTGCCAACATAAGACACAAGTGTCAAAATGTCAAAAACTTTGCTAGAGACTTCAAATCTGAATGAGCTGATAAGTGTCAAGATTCTAGCATGGAGCTTCATATGAATGTGCACTTCAGTATATTTGTTTAGGTTACATGATCCCTTCAGGTCACTGAGGCTGATTTTGCTGAAGTTTTGTCTTTTCACAATAAAAAAAGCAACACATTTAAAAATGCCTAAATGGCACAAAAGCCAAAAATGGCCATAATTCCAATTCTAATAAAGTGCTGATATGTACTCTAACCACAGGGGACTGCCTGCTGGATGCCCCTGAGAGTACCATGCCTTTACCACAGGAACTGCCTGGTACCACGTATAGCCTGGACCAGCAGTGCCAGCAGACCTTTGGAGAGGAGTTTATGCACTGCCCCAACACCTCAGACAGTGATATCTGCAGCCAGCTGTGGTGTAAAGAGGATGGTATGCAGCAGTGCTCCACCAAGAATGGCAGTTTTCCCTGGGCTGACGGAACCCCTTGTGGTCCCATCAGGACCTGCCTGCAGGGAGCATGTGAGCTGATTGAAGAAAGGATGCAGCCGTTGGTAAGACAATGTTTTTTTCTGGTGTTTTTTAATTACACATCAAATAAATATTTTGGCAAAAATTATTATCAATATGATATTTTTTGTTGGCGTGCTCATTAAAGTTGGGAATCATTAGGCACCTCACAAGTTGATTCGATTACAGTTTAGAAGTATGCAATGTGATTAAAAACAATTATCATTGCATTTTAATACATTATCACACAACAATCTCATGAGCATAAAATCTTTCAGGCTTAAAATATACTTTTTATTTTGCTGTACCATGCACCAAAAAGTAGATTCTACCACACAGCCCTCATGCTGAGAAGGGGTTCTTTGCAGACCAAAAGTGGGCGTTTCTGAAGAACAGGCATTTGTAGAGGACAAACACTGATTGGCTAACTGTATTTGATGGCTCTTTAGGTAAATGTTTATTCATGTTTCATGGTCTCCTTGCATACAGCTTGTAGCTACATGACTGAGTGTAATGTGTGTAGGGTTTGTGGGTTTTTGTCCTGTTTCTGTCTGTTTCCTCATGTTTCCTGATTCAGCTCTCTGTGTTTTCCCTCCTTGTGTTCAGCCCGTCTCATCTGTGTCTAATGTTAATCACCGCAGGTGTCTGTCATTGTCCTTATCAGTGTGTGTATATATTCAGTTCACTGGTGTCTTGTCTTTGTCTCGGAATTGTCCTTCTATGGTGTTGTGTTCAGCCTTCCATTCCATCCGTCCGATTAGTCTGTGAGTAGCTGCCCTGTCAGCATTTCAATTTTGTTTTGTTTAATAAATATTTTTTATTATTCCTCGAGCGTCCTCGTCATCCTCCTGCATGTGGGTTCAAACACACCTGACGGCCGAACATGACAGAATTCCGAGACCATACTGAACCCAGCGGGAGGATGATTATTTTGTTCGAGTTTTTGGCCCGTGAGGCAGATAAGACTGCCCAGAAAGATAAAGGAAGGAGAGGAGGAATCTGTTTTGGGGAACCCATCTGGCTATCAAGCCTGGGTCCTCAGCCTCACAGCCTCTCCATCCTTCTCTGCCTCGCCGCGCTGCTGCACCCCGCTGCTGCACCCCGCTGCTGCACCCCGCTGCTGCATCCCGCTGCCCACCTCCTCTTCGCTCTCCACCTGGCTGTCCCAAGCAATCATCGGAGAGAGGGGGACGAACCGCTGGTCCTCCCCGAACCCAGCGCAAGAAGGGGAGAACCTCGCAAGCGGAGCAAAAGCCCAGCCCTCAGTCGCCAGAGGAACAGTGGAGAATTTCGCTGTGGGGGAGGTACCTGTGGCCATCAGAGGAGCAGTCCAGCTCTCGCTCGCTGGTGGAACGAGGAGGGAGTTTGCTGGGGGAGAGGAGCCCATGCCCCCACTTGCTGGAGGAGCAGTACAGCCCTCCCTCGCTGGAGGAGCTGGAACGGTGGCAGGCTTCCATAGTGGCAACATATCTGGATCCGTTTCTGCCCTGCCATGAGGAGACCCAGGTAGACGCTCCTCACTCGAGTCCTCCAGAGGGGTTCACGGCTCCATCTCCTGTGGCAGTCCCGGTCTCACCACCTACAGTTTCAGCCCCATCACCTGCTGCAGTTCTGGTCCCTGACTCTCCTGTTGCAGCTTTGGTTCCGGTCCCTGACTCCCCAGCAGCAGCTCCAGACCCTGTCCCTGACTCCCTAGCAGCAGCTCCAGACCCTGTCCCTGACTCCCTAGCAGCAGCTCTGAACCCATTTCATGCTGCAGCCCCAGTCCCAGGTCTTCCACCTGCTGCTGCAGTCCTGGACCACGCCTTGTCTGCTGAGGTCCTCGTCCCTGGCTCTGCTGAGGCTCGCAGTTCATCTGAGGTCTCCATCACTGGGTCTGCTGAAGTCCTCGTCCCTGGCTCTGCTGAGGCTCCCAGTTCATCTGAGTTCTCCATCACTGGCTCTGCTGAGGTCCTCATCCCTGGTTGTCCTGTCTTCGCTTCTGGCACGGCTGAGGTCTTCGCTCCTGGCTCGTCGGCTCAAGTCTTCGTTCTTGGCTTGTCGACTGAGGTCTTCGCTTCTGGCTCGTCAGCTGAGGTCCTCACTCCTGGCTCATCGGCTGAGGTCCTCGCTCCTGGCTCGTCGGCTGAGGTCCTCGCTCCTGGCTCGTCGGCTGAGGTCCTC